TAACGATCACTCATGATCGAAGAAACTCTAGCATATGCATCCTAACTAAGATTGCAAACTCATAATAATTAAAAAAAAAAGATAAAGCTTGTAATCTATGAAATTAAAGATCCACTTTACAAGTTCTTGAAAATTATGAATTAGGTTATATCTTCACATTAAGGTTATTTGAATGCAAGAAATCTAACCACCTTTCTGCTGACAATGTTGAAATTTACATAAATTGGAATGGATAGAACCCTTAAGAGTTCCCATCAGGATGACTACTTTTATTGGTTTCCAGATGGAAAGTGGGCAGTATGCCATGTTGTTAGAAAATATTTGGTCTTCAAATTCACCTTGGGCAATATGTGGATCTTTTGGCTGGTGTGGGAAATTATAGAATATTTCATAATTGTTTGACCACAGCATAGTTTTAGCCTACATGTGTGAGAGAGCGGTGCATAGCTTGTTCCTAGTTTGAATCAGTTATATGTTCGACAAATATATCTGGTTTAAGGTTCATTTGCAACATGCTCTTGAGTCTTAGCAGAGGTGCTTCTCTTTGCCATTTTTTTTAATGCGTTCTGCCATTGCTGAAGAGCACACTTGACCGTGTTAGGGTGTCAAGACTCACACAAGTGTCCATATTATGATGTCTCAGATACGCAATGTCAAATTTCAAGGTCTGGTAATGATTGTGAAGGTAGATTGGTGGGAAGAATGTGTGCTTCAGCTGGAAATTGGCCTTTGGTTTGGTAATCTGTAACCATAGTGATGATGCTCACCGCACAGGAAGTAGGTTTCTGTATGTTGGTTAGACGTTTTCAGGAGTTGTTTTGGGTGAGTTGAAAGCACTAACTCGACTGGGTCTGAAAATTGGTGATTATTATCTTGAAAAAGGTCTTTGGCAAATTTAAAAGTGAAATGATTAAGATGTTGTTTGATTTACCATATCATTAAACTTCACTACCCTGTGCAGTGTCAGTTTTTCTACGTATGATAGATACCCTTTGAGTAATAAGCAAGCCGGTGGTTCCTTCATTCGTACTCCATTTAATGGGGCGATAGCGGCTGCACAGTCTACTTTGATCATGCTTCTGTTAATAGACTTCTAATCTCCTGGAGAAGGATTCAAATTGATTACAGCATTACCCAATAGATAGAGCTAAAAATTAGTTACATGCTGCGTGAGCTCGTGCAGGGATATTTGAAGTTCAATTTCCTGGTGTCGTTTAAGTTCCTATTTGAAGGGCATAGTGAAATTTTTGGTGATTGTGAAACAATAAGAGAATGGAGAACTCAGTTCTGGAGGCTGGGAGCGACTGGAAGGATATCATAGCCCAAACTGTAGTTGTTATTTCTTATGTGTGTGAGTTAAAAACAAGATTATTATAGGCCTCAAAGGCCACTGACATTCATATTTCAACTTGTACACTTGCAATGCAACTGGCTCATCCTTTTTCTTGCAAAAACATGTCCAAGCCAACATGGGTGGGTATGTTGCAATCATATCAAGCTATTTGAATGCAAGAAGAAACCAGATGCTTTCCAGTTTCTATGCCATTACCTACAGGAGGCTGTTTATCTTTATCACGTGAGATACGGTGAGAGTCCATACATTTTATTCATTAGAGGATCTGGAACATGATTGGCGGTTGAGAGAGAGAGAGAGCGAGCTGGCATCATACACCAATCACGGTGTATATGTTGTTCCAATGCATGTGGGGTCTTGACCTTTGATTTTTCTTTTCTCCTGTCCATTATTAAGGTAGGTCGTCTTTGGTGCTCATTTAGCAAGCAAAGCTACATTTTCATAGCACAATGATGAAGGGGGAAAAGGGAAGAAAAGCAAAGCCTTTACTGCAATGGCCCCAATCTTGAGACCTATCAAAATATTCAATACCCCATTAGAAAGAAGAGGCAGTTGTATATACCCTGTTTTTTATTTGTTTGTAGACACAAGACATGGACTGATAATGGCCTTTTTCCTCCCCAACTTTCTAGCTTTTTCACTCCTTCCTGTTTGGGGTTGTGTTGTGCGGTGCCTAAGTTTTGCTGGCTTCTCTCCTTCCTGTTGCCAGACCAGAAATGGTCAAGCCTAAAATAATAGCCGTCATGTTTGGTTCATACTATAGCAAATATCTTTTGTCTTTATGGATACTTGGTATTTGCCCATTATTTTTTAATTGTCATCTTTAAATGATGAAACAAGACCTGCTCTAATCTAATGCATGGACTCAGAAATTAAACCATGTATGTCCGAATTATTATACAACCAAACTTCACATGTCCATGGACTTTTGTGTCTCATCTAGTCCCACTATTGTCTTTTCTTTTATAAAAAATAAAAATAAAAATAAAAAAAACCCTCTTGTTTGGTCAACTAGCCAAAACAAATTATGCGAAAATATAAAAAAGAAAAATAATATCTTGTCTATTATTGTAAGTTGGCCTGATAATTGTTGATTGGGGGTGGTGGTGGTGGTGGGAAAATTGCCCCACCACATTTGGCCGTAAGTGGAACAAACAATAAAAGCAATTTTGTAAGCTTACGCTTGATTACTTGCATTACATCTCATGTCACATGTGTATGTGTTTTTCTTTTCTTTGTTTCTTTTCCCAACCTAATTTCCTTTGTCTGTCCAAAACGAACGCATTTAACCGAAAATTGTTCTTTGTGTTTTCTATGGATGGCTGGTCCAAAAAAACATGCATTTGCTACAACCCACTAGATTTTTTATTTTATTTTTTAAAATTTTGAAATTACATCCACAATTCAACTTTTAAAAAAAAGTCACTAGCCATAAAATGTCAATACAAACTAGCTATAAAGGGCCATTATAATAACGGAGCGATCGAACATTAAATTAAGACAATCTGGTGCGCTTCTACTAATAATCACGCATGATCGAAGAAACTCTGGTATAGGCATCTCAATTAAAATTGCAAACTCAGACCAACTAAATAGAGATAACACTTGAAAAAACCAAGTCATAACATACAAATTAAACTCTCACAAGAAAGAGGTGAAAAACTCTCACAAATGACATGTGAAAACTATACAAAAAACTTAAAAAGTCTCTGTGACTTAGTCCAAATGTAAAGAAACCGCAAAAAGAATGGTGGTAGAGATTTGATACCGAAACACAACCACATGTGATGAGCGTAGGAAAATCATAATAAAACAAAGACAAATAGGGGAAACCTTGTGTCTTTAAAAATGGGGGAAGAGAGGAGAAGGGAGGAAGAACAATGGCTTCCTCCCCTCAAAATGAAAACGGCTAGAACCCACTAGACTAGACAGGTCATTTCTTTAACTAATTTCAATTTTGTGGATATTGACAAATAAAATGCAATCCCAAAGCAAAGCCTACTCCAATACTTGAAGTAGGATACTCATTCAATTTTTGTGAAAAAAGTTATCATTCATTTGATTGATAAGTGTATAATGCCACAATTTGCTAAGAACGTGAGGAAAAGCCAAAAGAAGAAAAATAAAAGAGTCCATTTTGATTGATTGAGCTTTAATAATTATGTTTGGCATAATCACCAAGGGATTGGTACGCTTTCTTTCCTGCAAGTGAGAACACAAATATGGTTGATGGTAACCTAAAAGTTTGCTTTGAGTTTTTTTTTTTAAAATATATATTATTTCCTTACAGTTTTATAGAACAAATACAAATACAAATACATGAAGAGCAGCAAGCAATAATAGATTAGGCTTATAGTTATGAATGATGGCAGAGTTAGGGTTTAGGGTTAAAGACATTTTTGAAAGAAAACGAAAAGGCCTAGACCTAGTGATGGAATTGGGATATTAGAGGGCCATAGTCTAGATAACAAAATTTCCTCCGTGTATATATTTTGAGTTTATATTATTTCTGAAAAGTAAAAGTCAGCATTGATAGCTACTTTTCTTTTGTTACATTGGGAGAAAGAAACCTAAGCAAGAAAAAAAGGAGAGAGTCGCAAGAAACCTAAGCAAGA